TGTCCTTGCTGCATTCAGTTGCTGGTGAAGTGACTGGGCTTCCTAGAATGAATTTCTCTTCACTGTTATAATTTCTAAGCTATATTCTTTATCTTATCTAATACTGCATTACACACATAGGTCATCATATTTACAAAAACAATTTTGCAATATCTCTTACTCTAGAAAAAGGGAATCTATGTCCTTTGATGAGCAATGTTCTTTCCTCTCTCTCATTTAGTGATCAAACAAACAATACTAAGGCTCACCTGCCGTGCTGATTGTACTGAGCTTTGCTGGGTTTCTGCTTCATGGACCATCTGTGCTTGTAACCGCTGAAGGTTAGCTACAGCCTCATCTTGGCTGCGCTGACTTGTTGATAAGGCTTCACGAGCCTGGCCAAGTTCCTTATCTAATTCCGCTTTCTAAAACCAGAAAATGCTTGTGAAAAAAGTAAATTAATTTTAAGTTTTAAGAATTGACCTTAAAATCAAATTTAAACTAATATGTATTATTCATCTTCCCAAACTCCTTTCAATTCATTCCCCCCATGAAGTTCACAAGAAACTCTTTGCCCTTGGCATCAAGAATCATACTAGAAGGATAATAACCCATTGATCATTCAGAAATTTTCTTAACCCAATGACGCCGGGGAAAATTAACAAAAAATGGGGAAAATGCTGTGCCTATTTTCTATATTTTTGTGAAATGTCTACCCATAGATGGCTTGCTAGTGCCTGATTTGAAAAAGTCCTGTGAATATCGATGGTGTTATTTTTATTATATACATTATAATTACTAAAATGTTATAAACATTTGTAACAGCAAAATAAGATAACGTTAAATATTTTCGTAAATCGATGAAAAGGGTGAACGAGCGAGACAGGCAGTACTCGTAACTGGCTCATTGGTGATTTAGTACAAGTGTAGCCATCTATGTGTAAAAACAATTAAACAAGTAAACTCACAATGGGCATGGCATGTACGTACATGCCATGCCCATTGGCAAGGGGTTACACAAAATCTCTTTCTGGATATAATAAGAACTAACTCACATTCAATTTTTGCAATTATATATGTAATCTACTTATTTCAGGTGGATAAAAAGTGTGCACTTACACTCCTGATGAGATTGATGTGCTCATCACGTAATTTCTGATAAACATCCTTCATTTTTACGAACTTCTCTTCTGCTGTTCTCCTCCTGGTTTCCTCTGCAGCCAGACGAGTGACTGCTTCAGCACTGGCAGCAGCAGCTTCTACCTGAGCTAGGATTGATTCTCTGCTTTGTCTCTCTGCTAACAATTCACTGTCCTGTTTGCATAAAAAACTAATGAGCACTGTAAAACAAAGGCCACAAGAATCAAAATATCTTTATATCAAAAGGGACTGTAATAAACACTCAGACCCTGTGGCAAGAATATAACCATAAACAAAACCGGTTTTAGCTACAATTTCCAATTTCATGCAATATAAAGTTAAAAAAAAAAAAAAAATCATAATTTTAAGAAGATATCAAAATCTTACAAGCTCTGCAATGGTTGACTCCAGATCATTAATCCGCAGTCTCAGTTGTTCTTCGTTGTGGGTGGCTTGGGACCGAGCTCTTTGTACTTCTGCTCGCATGGCTTCCAGCTCTCCATGAAGGGCATCAATCAGCGACTCTCTCTCAGCCACAACCTCAGCAAGGGATCTTCCATGGATAAGAAATAACTTTAGTTTCTGTAACTCATTCCATTTATTTCTTCTATTCTTTTGTATCTTGATTTTAATTCTCTGAGTATCAAAATCTCCCCCCAAAAAAGGATATCAGGATTCAAATGGAATTCAGGGTGTGTCACTAATCTAATATCACTATTAGAGAATACCGAATTCATGAAGTTGAGTTGAAAATCTCCAAGGAGCAACAACTTTTCAAAGCTATTGTAGGGATTAACCTTTTGGATCTGGATGATTCACTGCCATCCCATGGCCCAAATTACAGGAATTGAGCTTACTTGAGAGGCAACTCTGGCGGGTGTACCACTTCTGGACCAGGCACATACAAACACTTGTGTGTGCTGACAAGACCCCATGCCTCCCTTTTGCAATGTTATTTTTTCTTTTTCAGCATAAGCATTTTATGTTTTGCCATTTTTCAATGTCTATATGTCATCTGAATTCCTTTAACCAGATTGTAATAGACTACTCCTTGCACAGACTCTATGTCATCTCTCTAAGTAGTCCATAACTCAGTGTAATAATAACAACAATAAATAAAAATAAAATATTTCTGTACTTGTCACAGTGGCGAGGAATAGGATCCTGAGCATGGAAACCACATGCTCCCTGAACCCGGCACTCTTCTTTGCTCACAACAGCATGTTTGCGTACCATGAAGGGTTGTTCACATAACCCACCCCTCAATCCAATTTTTTTCATAAAGTGATGGTCACATCATCCAGATCGTATGGCTTAAAACAGGACTAACCCAGTATCTAGCACAATGAAAGGGTTTGGCAACATGAACTCCTGCTTACTGACATTACACTTTACAGGGCTTCATTGTCTCCAAGAAGTTTAGAACAGATAGTCCCCTACTTAAGAACATTCTACTTACGAATATTCCATACATACGAACAAAAATTTTTAAATACTTAAGTCAAAAAAATTGTTTGAAAGATGCTAGCAAACTTCCAATTTCCCGGGCGCAAATATAGTTCACGAGTCTGCCACGTCGTGGCACTGCCGCATTCACTCAGCTGTGCGCATCACTCACCTCAGTCGCCTGCCCTCCCACCATAAACATGAAAGCATCTGATCACTGTGTCCTCGTCTACTGCCAATTTTTGTGCCATAATTCGATTTACCTGTGCATCAATCCATCAAAAATGTTGGGTGTGAAGAGAAAGATAAACGGTGAAGCCAGTGGAAGTGCCAAGAAACATCAAATAAATCCAAGTGAACAAGGTAAATCTTACAACTTTCCTAATTTTTATTTCAAGCATGCAATGTTTTCTGTTTTATATTTCATCTGAAATGCTTTCATGTATGTAACTGACATAGCCCTAACATTAAAATGTGTAACCTAAATGCGAGTCTGTAACCTAGCGGTAACCATGGCAGTTGTTTGACCCCGATATACAGACGCTTAGTCATCCCAGATTTATAGACACCTGTTCAACCCCATTGACTGACGCCATGTTAATCTATCCATGTTAATCAATCTTTCTCAGTATGGTATGGTGTCATCCCCGGTCTAATGGACGTAGGCTTCGTGTTGCGTGACAGCCCTGGTTGTGTTCTCCCCCATTCAGCTGACCACACGCCATCTTATAGATCGGTTCGCCAGCCATCACCACTACAATATATACTAGCATTACATATTACAGGTACTGTATAAGGTATGTCGTACTTATTGGGATTTATGTACAGGTATTCTTAATGTAAACAAAACTTTAAAACAATGGGAAAAAAGGCAATGGACACCCGACTTTGACATACGAACAAATCAACTTCCGAACAGCCTCTCGGTCCCCATTATGTTCTTAAGTTGGGGACTTACTGTACCTGCAAAATTAGGCTTTCTGGCATACCCTCCATAGCACAATCAAATAGGGGGGAAAAAATAATTCTTTTTAAAAACTTTTACTCTAGTAATATTAACCCCATACCGACAGGCCACGCGTTGAGGTGTCGTAACAAACCACTCGATCTGTATGCCGCGGCGACGTGCCAAAGCGATACGAGCTGGGGTTCAGCTTGATATAGCGAATTCCCACACTCAAAGTTGGCTCGTTCCCATTAATTTCCAGAGTGTAGAGTTTTTTTGTTTTTTTTTCTTCATCCGTCAGTAAGGGGTCAAAGACAATAAAGTAATGAAACTTCTCAAATAACATTTTTGACATTAAGGAACTAATACCTAGCAAATCCAATTCAAAAAAGTTTTCCCATCTTATAGCGTGACTTACAAGCTCTCTATGCCATGAAGAGTTAAAGACACAACTCAATTCCTTTTCACCATAAGATTTATTCTGGCTCCTTACCCATTGTGCGAATCAATGAGATCCGGATGTGGTGGTATGGGAGGTGGCTCTGGCTCCGAGGTGTCGATGAGCAGGGTGTCAGAGAGGTCCACTGGGTCTGGCTGTTCCTCCACTACCACTACTGGAGCCACATGACTTCTCAGTTCAGCCTCCACCAGAAAGTTTGGTGGATCCTATTGTAGAGTTTTGTGTTATTGTTTATTTACATTACATGAGACAGGGAAATCACTGAATTAACTGAAGAGAAACAATATCATTTTTTACTTAAAAAAAAGGGAACCTCAGCAGGGAATTCACATGAACCAATAACATTTACATATCACACAATGATAATCTATACACCTTTCATCATGACTAAATAACAGAGTAGAAACTAAATATCTTAAATATGTTATCTTTGTAACATACAATTCAAAGAGTAAAAAGTTATCAAAATATCCCAGAATAAACAAAAATAAATTTGATAAAAACATATTTTAAACATAATAAAGTGAAATCAATTAATTATATAAATTAATAAATTAAATGTGAAATTAACCTATTGATCCTGGGATGCTATGACATACATACCATGTCCACTGTGCTTCTAGTGGACATGGTATACAGATGACTCTGCAAGAGTCATCAAGCTATCAATTACTGGCCCTGATCTTACCTATTTACCCTTTTCCTTGACTTAAGGAAAGTTCTTTTTTTTTCTTATTACAGTTATTACTGATAATAATTTTAATGTTGATAATAATAATAATAATAATAATAATAATAATAATAATAATAATAATAACAATAATAATAATAATAATAATAATAATAATAATAATAATAATAATAATAATAATAATAATAATAACAATAATAATAATAATAATAATAATAATAATAACAATAATAATAATAATAATAATGATAAAAACAATTATGATATGGTTGGGTGCTTTATGTCTAGGGTGTGGTCTCCTAGGTAGTTTGCATGCCTTCTCATTTACAGCTGCCACCATTGGCTAGCCTAGTGCAGAAAAGGGAGCAGCTATGCAAAAGCCTCCCCTGCCGGTTCATAGCCTCTTAATCATGAGACTTTTGCAGTGCCTCCTCGTATCCAACCATGGAAATTGGGCATCTTGCAGACCCAGGCTAAACTCCTTCACACAGAGGAAGTGATGTCACTTTACAGCCGCCATCTTACTTCTACATAGTAAATGACATCACATTTGGAAGTGATGTCAGTACACAGGCAATAATATGATCAGTCATGTTATGTGACATGTGACCCATGCTGCTTTGACCTCATTGGCTACTATTGCTTCCATGTTTCCCACCAGGTCAGCGCGGGAATTTTCCCCAATACACAGAGGTGCTTGCACAACTTTCAAGTATTTACAGACACTCCTCCTCCTCTGTGGTCGATGACCCTCAACCATCGACCTCATCAGAGGTTCCTGCAAAGGTGCGCCAATCGCCTTCTCGCTCTCCCTGTTCTTCAGCCTTTTTCAACTACTCCTCCAAGGAGAGTGGGGATGAGTGGCTCCCCGGTAGGGCAGAGGATGCCATTAACCCAATGGTGACAGGTTAAGAAAACTAAAAAAAAAATCTACGCTCTGGCAATCAATGATAGTGTGCCGACTTTGAGCACGGGAGTTCAGTACATCAAGCCAAATCACCGGCTCGCCGCATGATTTGACGTGATTTCGAGCAGTTTGTTTTCACCTGTCGTGAAGGGGTTAACCCCTTGTTTAACATCAGTTTGGACAGACTACATCTTGCAGGTGGACACTACCATGGATAGCGACAAACCTCTTTCTATGTTTATCAAGATTTATCAAAATTGAAATCAAGGAATGAGGGTATTACATTCCTATTTATCTTGATATTTCTGTAACTTGGCCTTTTGTGCGTGTTACTCCTGTAAAATATAATTATTTCTCTAAAAAAGAAAAAAAGCTTCATTAATTTGTAGGTATTTAGGAATCACAAAAGTTCAGCATATAGCGATGTCACGAGTGCTCCAGGGACCAAGAGATTCATCTGGAGAAGGAAAGATAATATCTCGCATCGCCATGGCTTTCAAGGCGATCCCGGTCTGAAGACAGCACTGGACGTTTTGTGTATGCCATTGGAGATCTTGTTGTGTCTTTTCACAGGTCTCCTTGATCACATTATTCAGGAGACCAATTGCTATGTTTCATGAATGCTTTTATGTTCTTTCCATTTTTATCCATACTGAATAAAATATCTCTTACAATGAGCAGGCAGAATGTATTATTTATTTGTTTTTCTTTCCCACTCCCACAGTTATGCAGTCGCCCATCCTCCTGCCACCTCCCCTCACATGAGGAAGTGTTTTCATTCTTTCAATTTTTAACCTTAGGATCCATGTGATAATGGGATTGTGGAAACTTTCAAATTATCACAATTTCTGGTCGACCAAAAGTGTCCTGCATCACGAACTCGTATCCAAGGTCATGACAAGGGATCAGTTCGACCAGTTGACGACTCACCTCCATTTAGCCCACTTGGAGGAAGGAACTCCACTCCCAGATGACAGGATGTGGAAGCTCCAACCAGTCACGGACTCCCTCAACAACTCGTTCCGATCAGTGCTCATGCCGGAACAGGACATTGCCATAGACAAGTCATTGTGAAAGTTCTGTGGGCGGCTAGGCTTCAAGACCTACAACCCAACCAAGAGGACGAGGTTTGGGTTGAAGGTCTAAAGATGGGATGATGGCCTGCCTGCAGGCTCATCATGAGGGAGCCCCATGAATAGACGGGTGGATGCAGCTATGCAACCCAATTGGCATTAGCCCCAATTGATTGACTGATTGATATCAATAGCATTAGAATAATTAAAGTTTGCAAAAAAATCAAGGAATGGGCATATCAAGTCAGGTAGGCCTATTAATTGACTCTATGGTACTTGTGGAGCCATCTATTTGTAAAAAAAATTCACAAAACAAAAGTGCAGTGAATAGTGACTACTCAGCACCAATGGGATAACAGGAAAAACAAGTAAATACATAAAAGGAAATTAAAACACTGAAAAAGCATACCTGAGGCAAAGCAGGAACCTGAATCAACCCCTTGAAATACTGGAGATTCCTAGTGTTGTTATAAAACTGCTGAAGCTGTTGGAACTGCTTGTAAAATCTTGTTCGGTGACCACTCAGCATATCCGTTGGCAGGGCTACAATATCAAGTTTGCTTACTTGCAACATCCCATATTGTATAAGAATTTTTTTTTTTTTCATACTTTCAAAATATCAATAACATCAATTAGTCACTATTACTTTCTACTGAAACAGTAAGGCTTTCTTCACACATATCTACCAGTCTCTCAGCACCAGACAAATTCAGCAATACAAATCAGCAATTGTAATATCTAAAATGCTTTTAGATTTCATTTTTCCATACCCAAATCACCTCCATATCAAACAAGACACAGACAAAATGGGGGGCATTGTACACATTTGTTTAATTAATTAATAATACAAAAAGGTAA